GTCGGTATGGAAATTCTTCAGTAGAATCCTCTTCTATCAATTTCATCCTCCTCATCAGCCGTATCAAACTATCTTCTATATGTCTAGAGTGAGAAAAATGTTCTTTCATCCTCCAGTCTAGATGATCGAAGAAATCTGAGATATTATTAATTGCATTCATGGCATTTTGTACATCCTTCTCCAATTTCTTGATTATGCGCAGGATCACCAGAGTCTTGTTCGGAACTAAAGGTTGGATCGGCAATGAATTCTGAGATGATTGATCTATCATAATAATCATGTCATTTTCATCTTCAAAATCTGGGAATCTCTCAGTTGGGTCCAAAGGTTTCCAAGGTAGAAGTACATTTTTCTCAATTTTCATAGGATACTTGGAACTGACTGCAAAGTGAGAAAATTGTGGAAGAGTGTCCAAGCCCATAAGTTGATCCATGAACTATCAGACCCAAAATCGACTTCACAATTATTGATCCAATATCGATCGACAGTTCCATTTGGATGTAGTAATTTAAAATAGCACTTTCTTTAGAAACTTTACCGATCTTCATTGTCGGTAATAATTTCACAGAAATGAAGAAGTGTCAGTGTTTCGAAATGGGATTTAGGAGTGTCATTTCCCGTTTTCTATCATTTCCCAGTCTTCAGTTTTGTCCGTTAAATATTGGTAAATCTCATTCATTTGATTTCTTGTTGGGACAAAAATGAAATTATGACAGACATAAACGTTCTCGATCATGTATAATTTATTGATCCGTGCAGGAGTGAAAGTTATCCATCTACCTCGCACATAAACGACTCCCTGGTTGATTCCATGCAAATTTGCATAAAATTCCTTTACCACAGGAACAACCACGGCGGCGGTAGTATAGCACATCACTTCCCATCTTCGCCACACTATCATCTCTTCAATTACCGTAAAGGGATTATTCAATCTGTGATTTGCAAATTCTCATTCCTTGATTAATCTTTTCTTCGTCAGTACCTTGTTGAAGATTCGTTGCGCTTCCGCACTAATGAGTTTTCTTCGGTTGAACACTCGCATTCTAGAATTATCAGGAGAATTAGATGTCATAGGAATGAAATTGGTGGAGTTTTACTTCGTTTTTGGGGGAAATATGAACTTAGGAACAAATTTAGGAGTTTAAATGAGTAACTCCCGCCCAAAAACTGCCAAAAACCGCCATTCAAACTCCAAAAGCCGCCATCTCACCGGTTTCACCGTCGGTGGCGTCGAGGGCGCCGTCGACAAGCCGCTGTAATTAATTGCCTGGACTCTTGGGAAAAATCCGCCGTCGGCACCCAAGGCAAAAATTGCACAGTTTCGCTCTGGTCCGAATGCGTTCTAATTTTTTTCTTTGGATCCAATTTTTATGATAATTCAAGGGTAAATAAGAGTAGTAGAGCTCAATACTACCACAAACTAACGATAATTTTAAATAAAAAGTACAATAATCAAAATAAAAACTACTATAATCGCAATAAATATAAAGATAATTATGGGTTGCCTCCCATAAAGCGCTTGGTTTAACGTCGTCAGCCCGACCTATTTAGGTTTATTCAGGTTGATTGATCATTAAAACTTCTTTAAAATTTGGTCTTTTACCCTCAAAATACGGTTTCAATTTGTGTCCATTTACTTTAAATATAGTCTTCAATTTCAACAGCTCCGTAAGTATAAACTTGAGTCACAGTAAAGGGTCCAAACTAACGAGACTTCAATTTTCCGGGGAATAACTTTAGTCAAGTGAAACTTCTTGTCCTGGTTCAAAGTTCTTTTGGTTAATCTCGTGATCATGCCATAATTTTAGTTTTTCCTTATAAATTCTGTTGTTATCATAAGATTCATTTCTTAATTCTTCCAATTCATTTAATTGTAACAATCTCTTCTTACCAGCATCCTTCAAATTATAATTGAATTATTTAATCGCCCAATATGCTTTATGCTCCAATTCTACTGGTAAGCGGCAAGTCTTTCCAAAATTAAATAAGTCTATATAGGGACATTCCAATAGGGGTCTTATAAGTAGTTCTGTATGCACATAATGCAGTATCTAATCTAGCAGACCAATAAAATTTATATGGATTTACAACTTTTTCTAAAATTCATTTTATTTCACAATTTGATATCTCTACAAGACCGCTGGTCTGAGAGTGATAAACAGTAGAGAATCTATACATAATATCTTATTTTTTAATAAATTTTTAGTTTCTTTTATTCCTAAAATGGGATCCTCCATATGTAATAATTACTCTTGACATTCCATATCTTGTAAAAACATTTTTATTTAAAAATTTAGAAACATTACGAGCATCACATTTAGGTACAGCAACAAGTTCAATCCATTTGGACATTTAATCAACAGCAAGTAATGTATATAAATTTTGAAATGAAGGCATAAATGGTCCCATAAAATTTAATCCCCACACATAAAAAAATTTCAACTTCCAATGTGTAATTTAGAAGCATTTCATTTCTTCTAGAAATATTTCCTACTCACTGACATCGATCGCATGTTTTAATATATTCATTAACATCTCTAAAGAGAGTAGGACAATAAAATATAGCTTGTAAAATTTTATATGCAGTTCTATTTGTTCCAAAATGTCCTCCAAATTCAAAATCATGACATGTTTAAATTATTTGTTATTTT